TGGCGGCTCCGTGTCGCCCGTCGTGGCTCCTGGGCCGAGGCCCAGCGGCAAAGAAGAAGCGGGAGCTTGGGCAGAAGCTAGGAGCTGCGAGGACCGCTCCTGCACTGGTCCCCAGGATGGATCTGAGTGGAGTCAAGAGCATCTCTCCCTGGCTCCCTTCTCAGTTGATTCCAGCCAATCAGCGTGCAGAGTCAGGCAGCGGCAGCGGCAGCGGCAGGAATGCTAAACAGCGGCTCCTTAAAGGAACAGAAGCAGTGGCGCCCCCAGGCTCAGCCCCAGCTCCCCAGATATCTGGGCTACCGCCGACCCTAAGGCGGGGGCAGGGGACTTGGGCCATGGGTGAGCTCAGCCCCCAATCTCATGCCCCCTTATCCCCAATTTCAGCCCGTTCTCCGCCCACTCCACCCCACCCCACTACCAAGAGGGAGTTGCAGGGAGATGCTCAATGGGTCTCCGGGCTTGCTTTGAGCTGGGGCCACCAGAAGTAAAGACTTGAGGCGGCAGAACAGATCGGAGGGACGTTAGAGCAGGGTGAGGGAGGTGATCTCTCCTAACAGGGGACCAAGGAAGAAGGCAGCTTATGAGGTCACACTCTTGTCAAGTGCCTCTTCCTCAGAACTATTGTTCTCTCAACCTCTAGGCCCTGGAATGACTGCAACCTCACACTTGACCTGCTTCCATCACTAGTGAGGAATGTCAAGGCTAGAACAGGAGGAAAAGAAAGCTCTAAGCTCTTGCCCTGTTGCACAGACTCCTATCTCCTCCACCCCACTACTGCATAGTTATGATGCGAGAAAGAGCTTCAGGATGCCAGGAGAGTAAAGAAAGTCCAGGGCAGGAGGAAAGTTAAGAAGAGATCTGGATAAACAACAAATTTCTACTGTATAGCACAGGAAACTATATCCAATATCTTGTAGTAAGCTATAATGTAAAAGAATATGAAAAAGAATATATGTATGCATATGTATGACTGCAACATTGTGCTAGACACCAGAAATTGACACAACATTGTAAACTGACTATACTTCAGTTAAAAAAAAAGTGGAAGAAGAAGGAGAAGAAGAAGAAAGAAGCAGAAGCGAAAGAAAGAAAGAGAGAGAGAAAGAGAGAGAGAGAGAGAGAGAGAGAGAAAGAAAGAAAGAAAGAAAGAAAGAAAGAAAGAAAGAAAGAAAGAAAGAAAGAAAGAAAGAAAGAAAGAAAGAAAGAAAGAAAGAGATATCTGAAGTGAAGGAAACCTAAGGGTATGGAGAATAAGTTGGAAATACTTGTCCAAGGACAAGGACATACTTGTCCTTAGCCTCTCCTGGCTCAGCCTGTTGGGGGATGACATGCCAGGAAAACTCTTGCTGTTTTTGCTGTTCTTGTTTTGTCATTAGCTACCAATTATTGAGTCTTTACAAAATCCTAAGTGTTTTACATGTAAACAAAAAGCCTACCAAGGTGCCACTACTATTACCTGAATTTTACCAATGAGAAATTGAGGCTCAGTGATGTTAATACAGCTAGCTAACACAGCTGGAAGTGACAGAAGCGGGATGCCCAACCTGGCTGTTTGACTCCGGAATCCATGCTCTGAACCACTCAGGTACAACAGGTCTATTCTCAGTTCTCCTGCAAAACTCAGTTCAACAAACATTCATTGCACACCTACTCTGAACAAGACCTTGACCCAGGCCCTAGGGCTACAGAAATTCATTCTTAATTCAACAAATATTCATTGAACATTCATCTGCTATGTGCCAGGCTCTGTTCCAGGATTTGAGGATAGAGCAGCAAACAAAATGAGACACAACAAGTCCTTGCCCTTGGGGAGCTTACATTCTAGTGAGAGGACACAGACAAAAATTAGCAAAATAAATAAGTGAATTCTATACTACTATGTATGATGATAAGGGCTATGGAAAAAAAGAAAAAGAGCAGAGAATGAGGGATAGGAAGTACTACGGGAGGACATGGGGTTGTGATCATTTTTCTTCAAGTTTTTTACCCCCACATTTTAAGATGAAAATTTTCAAACATACGGAAAAATTCAAAGAATTTTACAGGGAACAAACACCCAATTGCCATCTAGATTCTCATTCTATTTTACTATACTAGCTTTCTCACATAATCTATCCTCCACATAGCCACTCCAACTTTTTAAAAAAATGAAACTTTGCAAACATATAGAAATTGAAAGAATAGTACAATGAACATATATATATATATGTATGTATGTGTGTGTATCTATATCTATATCTATATCTATATATCTTCCTCATAGAGTCAACAGCTGGTAATGTCTTGTTATATTTGCTCTATAGATCTAGCTACATTTTTGTTCTGAACCATTCAAATGTAAGTTACAGATTTCATTACATTCCTCCCGTAAATACTTCAGCATTCATCTTGTAGGAATAAAAACATTCTCCCACATAACCACAATATTATTATGACATCTAAGAAAATTAACAATAATTTCGTATCATCTCATGTCCAGTCTACATTCAAATTTCTCCAAACTTGCCTTTAAAAAACTTTAACATCAGGCCGCCTTTTTGCTCCCTCCTCTTCGGAGACAGTCCACACTCTGTCTATGGAGTGTGTACCTACTTTTACTCTAATCTGAGCACTGAAACCCCACACCACATGGCCTTTCTCTTGCCTTTTGAAACAGCCTACACTCTATGTAGTATGTATCTCTCTAAATAAATCTACCTTTACTCAAAAAATTTTTTTTAACATCAGAATCTAATCAAGTCTGTCACGTTGCATTTGTGTGTTTGGTCACATTTAATCTAGAACAGCCCCAATCTTAAAAAAAACCTTTTTATTTTGAAGTAAGTATAGATTTACAAGGAAGTTGCATAAGTAGTATAGAGAGGGCCAGTGTACCCTTCATCCAGTTATCTACAATAATTTCATCTTACATAATTATAGTACAGTATCAAAACCAGGAAATTGACATTGGTACAATGCGTATATAGCTCTATACCATTTAACCACATGTGGAGATTCCTGTAACAACCACTGCAATCAAGATACAGAACTATTTCCTCACCACAAAGATCTCCTGGTGTCATCATTCTATCATGTTGAGGAAATTGTAGAAAACTTACCTCCATTTAAGTCTCTTTACCCTGTCCCATATATAGTACGGTTTTCTTAAATATTTCCTCTATATATATCAAGCTCCAAATCAGATAATGTTATACTTATTGCTTCAACCATCAAACATTATTTAGACAACTCAAGAGGAGAAAAGTCTGTTGTATGTACTTACATTTTTACTCATTCTATTCTTTCTTCCTTCCTGATGTTCCAAGATTTCTTCTTTTATCATTTCCTTTGTTTTGAGAACTGCCTTTAATCAGTCTTTTAGGGTGGGTCTGCTGGTGTCACAGTCTCTTAGCCTTCCTTTGTCTGAGGATACCTTGATTTCTCCCTCATTTCTGAAGGATATTTTCACCAGATATAGCATCCAGGCTTGGAAGTTCTTTTCTTTCAACACTTGGAATATGTTGCGCCACTTCCTTCTGGCCACCACAGTTTCTGATGAGAAACTGCTGATGTTTAAATTGTTTTTCCCCTGTTGGTAAATGGTCTTTCTCTCTTACTGCTTTCAAGATTTTTTCTTTGTCTTGCTTTTAAAAGTTTGATTGTAATGAGACTTGGCATGGCATTTCTTTGACTTTATCCTGTTTGGGGTTTGTTTGGCTTCTTGAATCTGTAGGTTTGTCTTATGCCAAATTTTGGGAATTTTCAGCCATTATTTCTTGAAGACTTTCAGCTTCACCCTTTTTCTCTTGTCTTTTTGGGACTCTGATGATGCAAGTATTAGGGCTTTTGTTATAGTCCCGCATGTCTCTGAGGCTCTGCTCATTTTTTTAAAGTCTATTTTCCAACTATTGTTCAGATTGGGTAATTTCTAATACTCTATTTCAAGTTCATTGATTCTTTCCTCATCCTGATGAGCCCGTCCACTGAGTTTTTTGGTTGTGTTATTGTA